TTTATCATTTCCAAAAGCAGGCAATACAAGTAAACTAAAAGGGATGGTGGCTTAACAAAGGGCCGCTGATGCATGAAGGTGATTGACATGTAGGTAAGACTTCCTCCTGTTCGTTTTTCTATCCTTTACCCTCTCTTTCTTCCTACTTCTCTCATTTTATTTGTTGTCTTTTTCAGCTAACTTGCAAATCCTTTGTTGCTGTTGCAAAAACGTGAAAAAAAAAAAGGCTAGAGCACTGGGTATTAAAGAATGCTCTTTGAGATTGGAGGATAAAAGGAGGCGTGTCAAAGTGAAAGAGGCTCCTAGTAGGATGTCCAGAATACGACAGTAGGTGAGACAAAAACAAGAGAGGAAAGGACGAGAGAGAGAGAGAGAGAGAGAGAGAGAGAGAGAGAGAGAGAGAAAGAGGGAGATGGGGATCCAGCTGGTTCGTTTCATAATGAGAGGCACCCTGTTCTCGGGGTGGGAAAGAGATGCAGACGGAGAGAAGAGCTGGAGGAAAAAGGCAAGATGAGGCAGAGGGGTGTGTGTGGGGGGGTGGGGGTTAAAGTTGGTTTCATATTAACTTTTCAGGAGATGTGGGACTGACACAACCCTCTGGGTCTCCTCCTTTCTGCCACGCTGCTTTGACTGCAGATCTGGGATGTTTTTCCACACACAGTGTACTTAGCTGTGGCTTTTTGGGGTGCTTCGGTCACTTATAAATAACCCATGCATTATAGATATACTGTAAGTGTGTGTGTGCTTTATGTGGGAGTGTACAGGTCACAGTCTGACCACCTTTTTCCCATCTGTCTTTATGCCACCCCATCACACACCACCCCACACACACACACACTTTCCCTCTCTCAGACTAAATCCGATTATCAAGCCTGCATCGGCTAACGAGACCTCCTTGCAGCTAGTCTCCCCCCACCCCACACCCCTCCAAGCATACACTCCGATAGCTCCCACTCCTCTCTCTTTTTTTTCCTTTTTCTCTCTCTAACTCACCCACACACTGATAGCCATCAGCCTGTGCCTCTAAATACACAAACACATTGGAGCACACCCACATGCTGCTCTGGGCCCAGATTGGACAGAGGACTCCCTAATTATTCTTTAATTGCCTGTCTCTGTCTGTCCAGCTGCCTCATGTGTAAAACACAGAGCAGCGGCCTGATTGATCACCCCGCACTGAACATATTGTGAATGACACCAAAAGATGGCTTGAAAGGGAGAAAAGGGGTGCGGAGAGAGACAAAGAATAAAATCAATGYGAAATGACTTGGCAAAGGGAGCAGGACACGCAGCAGATGGACACTGCCGATGTCTATTTTCATGCCATATTTTTGCCTCCTACCAGACATCAACACCAACCAATCGTTTTCAGTTTTGTTTGTTCCGTGAAATATACCAACTCTGTCAAACAGGCAGTCTTCCCTTATTGCAGTTTATGATCATTATCCCATAAAAATAAAAACTAACAGCTCTGGAATTTAGAGTTCGGCAGTTTATATCCCAATWTGTCTGACTAATTTGCATCAAATGTACAAACCATGACACAAAAAAATAAGATGTTTACACACAAAATGATGTTRAATCATGCTTGTGTGACTTGCACCTCTACAGATTAGTTGTTGGCAGATGCTTAACATCAACATCAGGAAACATTTGATTTGAAAAGTGCTGTATTTGCTTTTCTCTTTGAGTCGTTACTGTGCAATCTACGTAGTTTTTCCATTGTTACAGTATTCTTTTTTTAAACRCCCTATCTACTTCAGATTTTTTATTCTTTTCATTCTATTCCAGTCATTATCAGTAGTAGAATTCAATGGAAGTGGATCAAACCAAGCAAAAAACATAAAAACGGTTAGAAGTTGACCAAATTAAAGCATTTTTATTTTCTGAAATCAATGAGGTAAACAGATTAGTTACACAAAACGTGACTTCATTATGTTTGGGAAAAATTACTTTGATTGTTCATCAACTTTTTTTTTTTTTACCAAAATTACAATTGTTAAGTTCAAGATCTTTGATATTAACCAAGAAATGCATTGAACTTCCTGTTTGTGTACCTATAGTTGTGTATGTGGCAGTGTGTGTCTTTCCCATGCAACACTTAATGGAACTCTTATATCTTAAGTGCTGTTGAAAAGTGCAGTACATCATTTGCTCAAACATTCATGAACAATTCCTTGGCTGGCTTTCTGTTTGTTTTGGAGGAGAAACAGAGGATGGTTTTGGGGGTGGCTATCCCTTTTACAAACACAGAACATGACTATTAGTTTGAAAAACTAACACTGGTTTACTTGAGATGAACATATTTTAAACAGAAGTGTGGACAAAATGAGAGACAGGATTAAAAATAAAGGCAAGGGAAATGAAAAAGGTAAATAAGTGAAGGAAGGGAAAATAAAACACTGGAGATAGCTTGAGATTTTTCCATCAAATGTCAGCACATCAATGACCTTTGACCCTTCTGTGGTTTGTGGGTTTGGATGAATCACAGCATCTGACTGCAGTGGAATGAGTCTGACATCAACAGCACTGTGTGATTTTGACAGTGCATGCTATTATCTCCCTCACATGCACCAAGCCCCCTGTCTTCCTTCCTTTTCTTTGCCTCCTTTGCTCACAGCAGCCAGATAACAAGTCGGCCATCGCTCAGCTCCTCTCATCTCTCTTTAGACATTCTCAGCAAACTTGCTTTCATCCTCCCTGTCTGCATGTCTCTGCCTTGTTAATAAAGCTACCCTGTCAAACAGCGATGATTCCCTAAAGTCCATCCTCTCCACTCTTGGCTGTTTTTCCACAACAAATAAATTATTCAGCTGTAGATTTTGTACTCCAAAAATTGATGGTATGATTAATTTATGTTATCATCCAAAATACGTGGCTATGTACTTCATTAGCAATATGTGTGTCCTCAAATTGGAACATCAGCATCAATCAGTACTTCTTACTTTTATTGATATTTTTTGGAATAATTCTGGTTGAATTTTAAATTGATTTTCTGTGAAAAAAATGTTTCACATTGTGTTGTTTTGTATTTTATTATGAACAACAATCCCTACCAATTATTTATTTATGTTTCAAGAATTTAAAGGTAAGTTTTATTTGTGAGCCTAACTACAGATTTACACTGCATGTGGCTCCGGTCCGGTCAGGTCCATTCTGCCACGTATTTCACTGTCATTCGTTTCCACCCTGATTTACACTGCATGCAGCTCAGCTTTGTTGCAAAGCACAGAAGTGATCTGAGAAGCRTGTGYAGGAAATGTGAGATTGTGCAGTAAAGCCAGTGATAAATGTGACTGGAGACAGCAGCTGAAACTGCATCACAATTGTCTTTTTTGAATATATATTTCAAAATAATTTCAAGCAGAAAAAGGATTGAATTTGATTTGGGGGATCGCCATGCACACGCTGCCACCCTGCAGGTGCAGTGTAAATGCTCGCATTTAGGGATGCACAATATACGTATCAACATTAACATCAGTATCAGCTGATATTGGTCATTTTTAGGAATATCAATATTGGTTAAGTAAACCTGGGTCAATATTAATGTCCAATATTAATTTCCTACTTTTTAAATTTGTGTTTCTATTTTTGGGAGGGGAAATGGTTGGTCGAGTGGAATCTGTTTGATCATGATAATGTTAGTGATGCTGAGCAGCCGGGAATAACTGAAGTAGAGCACCATATCAGCAGGCTGATTGTTTCTTTACTGTATCAAAAAAAATAGACACAAGTGTGTTTGTGTGAATATGTATATGCATAATTTGTGGTAAATACCAGTTATTGGCCATAACACCAATAATAATATTTGATATCGTTATCAGTTTMATTTTTCATATCAGAGCATCCTTACTCTCATTGATTTATAATGTGTGTGCATGTTTGTGTGTTTGTCTTTTAGCACAAAATATTTCATAAACCACTGGCTGAAAGAAAACAYAAACATAATTAGTAGATTTACACCTACAGCTGATTCATCTTTGGAGTCAGCTATAAATTCAAGATGGCTGCTGCAGAAAATTGGCATTAGAACACACAAAATTAGCTATAACTCAGCCAATTTTGAAAATACTGTATTGAGCTARAATTTTTAAGACTTGAGCAAAACATCTTGAACTCCTTTTTTCCTCAACATAGGATGATCTTTAAAACTTTGGCATGGAAGCTGGTAGACATTCCTTCAAGGAATGCTTGGCCTTTCATTGCCATTTTGTAACCAATATGTAGGATGTAAATGTGAGTATGTGCATGCATGGTAAACCTTTGGCATGGCCCTAATGTCACTTGCCATCTCTAGCTGTGCAGCTGTTTGTCAGCTGTACAGCCAACTGAACCATGTCTGTATTGTGTGTTTTGTAGAAGCCAAACATTGCATGAATGAATGAGCGTACTGTAGCTGGGCATGTTATACCCCAGGAGACGTTGTACCATAAAAGCTTCTAAAACTCATAGGCTGCGGCCTCTTGTCGCTCATCTGTGTGTGAGGAGTGATGAGTACAAAGCGCTCAAGGCAACGCAGGAAAAGGCATGCTCTGGTGCTGACAGAGTGCCTCTCAGACGCCACACGGCTGTCCCCCACTTCTTACAACTCGCCGTTTGAACATTCAGAAGCCCTGAGGTTTTTAAACAAACACACAGGCTTTTTAATCTAATAACACAACGCTGACAAGTTGTAGTCAATGTGTTTTTGTTTGTGTTTCTCACTTGTTCGTGTCTCACTTCCTTTACAAAAAGAGCACATTGTTCAATCTTGAACTAATTACATCTTTTTTCTGTTTTGACTGTTTAAACACTTTGTGAAACTAGTTGGACTTTGCATTACACTGTCTGCTTTAGTCATTGTGTATCAAAGCACAATCAAATCAGTTTGATTGTGTTTCTGGAAGGTTCCATTGAGCGGCAAACGCAATTTTAACATTTTGTTTACTGATAGTCCTTACTTTGCTCTGATTATAAAATCATATTAATTTTTCCCTGCATTTGTGTGTGTTTTTCTCCAGTTTGCAGTGCAGAACTGACTGTGAAGGTGGCTCCTAAAGTGGAAGTGATGAAAGGAGAAACAGCCAAACTGCCCTGCACCTACACTGGCACRCAGTCCAGCAACAACATTGTTGAATGGTACATTGTAAGTATTTTTAAACTCTCTACCATGTCAAAATAATAAAACACCAGTAAAATGTCCTACTTAGAAGTTATTAAGGACATTGTAAGTAAATAAAAGTAAGTTTTGCTACTTTCTTCTCGCTCTTTAATTCAGGAGGAGCAGGGAGCCAGGAAACGAGTGGCTTTAATCGATCGAACGGGAGTGATCAAAATCGATGAGGACAGTCCACTGACTGGCCGGGTCACTATGGGAAAAGACTACACCTTGACCATCACCTCTGTTCAACCTGCTGACGAACTCACCTTCTGCTGCCAGGTCAATGCTGGCCCTGAAGGCCTTAAAGAGGACAGCACCATGCTCAAAGTATTTTGTATGTCARCTTGTACCTTTTAGCTACTTCTCTAACACCCCCCAAACTTTCCCATTAATTACTGTGAGAAAATTATAACTTTGATTGTAGCTGTTATTACCTGTAAAGGTTTTAGGATTTTAATCTGTGAGATCTGTGTTTGTGTGTGTGTTCGTGCCTCAGCTTAATTGTGTCTAATTGATCTTACTTATTGCATCTCACACCAACATCCTTAAAAAATACTCTACATTCCTCTTAGGAGACTTATTACAGCGTACCACAATCTGGGTTTGTCAAATGTAAAACAGATTTAGCTCATTTTTTTTTCACTGTGTGGAAATTTTAAGCCTCACAGATGCCCGAGGTTACCAAATTGTTTTAACCAGTTCTCCAGAGGTCAATTAACCACAATTTAATCACTCCTGACATTACTGATGAATAGTTCAATCACACATGTCACGTCTCATATATCTCTTTTTAATAAGAATCCAGAATGCTAGGGGCTGACCCCGCTGCAGGGCCATGTGTCCTCGCCCCTCCCACAGTGAGTGCACATAAATAAGAAGTATTCATTTGCATTTTGGATTAGATTCAGTCTCTCTTGAAAGGAAATAGGTTTTGTTGAGATAACTCAAAAACAGCCACACTTCTAGTCTTGCAACCTCTTGGGGGAAAAAAAGCTAATAAGTCATCTATTAACATACATGCTCCAGGAGTGACCAGTGTTTAAATAAAACTCTTAAAACAAGCTGTTATTTGTGAGTGGCCCAGTCAGGTTAGGAGAGTACCTCAGTGGAGTGATATTTGGAGAAAAGGGCAAGGAAACAACTACTTTTCTTACAAAACCAGTAATTATTCTTTGGTGTTCATTCATTTGACTGCTTGACTAATTACAGTGTGTCTGCCCTGCCTTAACTTAAYGGTACTGAGTTATTAGGGAAGCTTGCAAGAGTTAACAAAAACATTCCAGAACTCTAAAAAGCATTGAACTCTGAACCCACTAAACTTTTCAATTMTAGTAAAATTGTTCATTTTGATGCAAAGAAAAAGTCTTAAAAGACAAATTAGGTTCTTTTCATAGGGTTATTCTAAACTTATTTTTCTTTTCAAATTTGTTTGCAWTTAAAGAATACGTCTCCCTATATTTTACATGTGGAAAACAAATTAGTATTTAAATCAAGCAGCTTTTTGGAAACCTCACAGAAAAAAAAGACAAAGACCCAGATCCAAATTCCCACCCCTCTCTTGGCTCAAACTCTGGTTTTGGAGGGTACTCGAGAGGGTAATGGTCCTTCAAAATGGAGCTACCAGTAACATGGGTTGAAATCTTTGCCTAAAACTGTTGACAACTCCCTTTGTTTTATGAAACTGGAAAACACGTCATTTAAAGGGCCTTTTAAATGGTCTGATTGCCAAGAAGAAACCATCCATCCTACCTATATTCTGCAAATACCAAACACATGTAGGTTTTAAGAGGCCTTCAAAAACAAATAATTGAGAGAAAAACAAACTATCTCCTATTTATTTTCGTAATCGGTCCACAGCTGCGTGAGGTGATAGGATAACCTTGAACTAGTTAGCCTGGGACTAAAACAGAGAAACAAAAGGGAACGCTCACACCTGTGGCTGTGTGTGTGAGCCAGGGTGTAGGAAGTGGGAGGTTTTTGTGGCTCGACTCTTATCTGCTTGTCTGAACCAGGTCACAGAGAAGATTATTTACTGACAGATTAATTAACAAGGTCAGCAGATGTGTGGTTTGGGAAACAAGTGCGGAACGTCAGCAACTGTTTGTACTCCTTTTACGATGAAACGTTCTCTTGCAATGAATCACATTAATTATTGATTATTTTTTTCTAGTCCCTCCTGAGGTTCCAGAACTCATAAAGCCATCAAGTCAGGCCATTACAGCGGGACAGTCCGTCAGCTCAGAGGTTTGTTTGCTCTCCTGTGTGTCTGCATTTTGCACGAATTTCACTGAGCTTGAACTCTGTTCTCTTCTTTTGTTTTTTTTATTTTTTATTTTTTTATTTTTTTTACTTAATCTAATTTTTTTAATCAGATTGGAACCTGCACCGCAAAAAATGGACACCCTCAGCCAAGAATCATCTGGTTCAAAAATAATGAACCTCTTCCTGAAGTCAAAGACAAAAAAGAGAGTATGTGTCCTTCAGATAGCAAAACTTGATACTTTCTGGCAGTACTTTTTATAATAGAAGCCATTCATCTCATGAAATGTTTTATCTTTATTTGACAGAAACCTACATGGTTTCCTCTGTGGTGAAGGAGGCCTCTGGCCTTTATACCTTTAAAAGCGTCCTGTACATGCAGCCCACCAGGGCWGACAAGGACTCTGTGTTCCAATGTACTGTGGAGTACAGCATGCCGCAAGACCAGATCAAACAGAAGACATCTGAAAGTATGAAGATCAATCTCAACTGTAAGTGGAGAGCTGGGAATAGAAGGGTTTAAGTAAATATTTTGAGTAGTTGCTTTGAAAAGTTATGTGGTATTTGAACAAGGTGGACAGTAATTAGATTCATTGATAAAGACACTTGTTTTGTTCACTTAACATAAATGCATTTGGACTGCTGGAGCAAAAGCCCATGCAAAGTGTAACACATTCTATTACTTCTCACTGCAAGCTGACAATGGTATGCACTTTGCTATCCAGCAAGGACTTTTTAAATTAAACATATTGATCAAATGTCAGGTTTCTAATTAGTTTATAACTCATTGTAAAGCTTTAAAGTACTCACTGCTAATCATTACCTACAGTTTTTAATCAAACAAGCAGGTCAACCCCATGATGTTTGGATCCAGATTCAGACCAAGCACATTATGACGAAAAGTAAAACAGCTGCAAAAGCAGAAATAGGTAATATGTCGTACGGCACAT